CCCCGGCAAAATAATTAAAGGGAAACATAACGACATTGAAAAGACGCTGTGTAACCCTACTCGATCACTTTCTCCTCGTTAATAAACGAAAAAAAAATGTGAGGCATAACTGTTGTGTATCCTTCCATTATAAAGTATGGATATTTGAACAAAATGTAAGTTGTTTTTTTTCCAAAACTACTTCTGCTTCAGGTTTTAATCTTCTTCGAATTTAACGAACCGAAAGGTAATCCCTGGGGGTGGAGCAATATTTTCTGTCAAAACAATCTCCATACACAGAGTGCGTGATCTCTGATCCCGAAAATATTTTTAAACGTTTGGGGTTGTTGTTGTTTTTTATTGTTTTTTTGTTGTTGTTAATTTCTGTTCCCTGATTGTGTTTTATTTTTCTAATTTTTTTCCTGTTTTTTTTTTTTTTTTTTTTTCTTCTTCTTTTTAAATCTTTGACTTTTCTTTTCTGTCCTTGTTTTTCCCCTCTCTGTTTTCCCTCACCGAAGTCGTTTGGAATGAGATAAAATTAATGGGAAATTAACTCTGTTGTTCACTATCCTTGATTTATAATAAAACATTTCTCATCTCTTTTTTGTTTTGTTTTGTTAAGTGTTTTACGGCGCTCGCAACTGCTTAAGGTCATGTGAGCTCGCGGGACACACCTAATATTTTCAGTTGGTAGGACATTTTGAATTTTGCCCGGGTGGCGTCCGAAGCCTACTCTTATCGATTTTAGACCATCAAGGGATATTTAACGTACGCAACTTGCTCACGGGCCCTCCGAGATTTTGGGCCTTGCCCGAGAAGGCTAGGTTTAGATCTTTCTTACCAGAAGATCAGGAGTGTGGCTGAAAGACAGCAGAAAAAAGGAGCTAGGGAGAAGCTGCAGTAGAAAGGCTGCAGAAAGAGTCAGGAGTCCAATGTAGGGAGCAAACGAGGTGAGGGACGGGGGAAAGAAGAGACGAAAGCAGACCACAGAACATTGCATAAGAGCAGGAAAGGAAGTGAAAGGAGACAATTTTAGAGAAGAACATTGTTCGGTCGCTACCCGGATTCGAACACGGGACATTTAAATGAGAGGCGAACACCTTAACCTCTAGGCCACGAGAGCCCTCTTTCTCATCTCTATCGCTATAGCAAACACATTACATTACAAAAGAGGCAGAGGTTTGACAAAACAGAAAAAGAAGAAAAAGAAGAAGAAGGAGGAGGAAGAGAAGGAAGAGGAGGAGGAGGAGGAGGAGG